CTCTGGCCCCGTGTCTCCTTGCCGGAGACCTCGCCCACACTGCGTTGGACGGGGGAGGTTGGCGATGCGTCGCGCTTCCGGGTGTGGGGTGCTCGTGCCCTTGTCCGCGATACGTCCGCGGACAAGCTCTCCTCCCGCACGCTTCCCTGTGTCTTCCTTGGCTTTGTCCCTGACGCGCCTGGCTGGCAGTTTTACCACCCCACCTCGCGCCGGGTCTTCGCCTCTCAGGACGTCACCTTTGACGAGTCGGTCCCTTTTTACCGTCTCTTCCCCTACCGCACTGCCCCCCTCCCTCCCCCGCCGCTTTTCCTCGCTCCTGGTCCCCCTCCGGTAGACCCCCTCCCCCCTCAGGGTCCTGCTCCTTCAGGTGTCTCTCAGGTAGACCCTCCTCCCGTCGCTGAGCCTGTCGAGGTCACAGGTGACTCAGGTGCTGCTGCAGGTGGTGCTGCTGGGAGTGCTGAGCCTGGGGGTGCTGAGCCTGCGGGTGCTGGGCCTGGGGGTGCTGCGGCTGCGGGTGCTGGGACTGAGGGTGCTGGAGCTGAGGGTACTGTGCCTGAGAGTTCGGAGCCTGGGGGTGCTGAGCCTGGGGGTGCTGCGACTGGGGGTGCTGCGACTGGGGGTGCTGAGCCTGCGTGTACGGAGTCTGGGGGTGCTGAGCCTGGGGGTGCTGCGCCTGGGGACACTGAGCCTGGGGGTGCTGCGACTGAGCCTACGGAGCCTGGGGTTGCTGCGTCTGGGGGTGCTCCGGTTCGGGGTGCTGAGCAGTCTCTCACACCGCAGCAGCTTCGTGACTGGTACGTCCGGCGCTTTCGCCGTCCTCGTGGCCCTGCTGGAGTTGGAGGTTCTGGAGCTGCTCGTCCTGGAGGTGCTCGTACTGGAGGTACTGGAGCTGCCGGGACTGGCTGTTCTGGGAGCACTGAGGCTGGAGCTGCTGGAGCTGGGGACTCTGGAGCTGGCGGTGCCAGCGGAGTTGGAGCTACCGGCTCTGGGGGTGCTCTTCCTGGCGGTACTGGAGCTGCTGGAGCTGACGACACTGGAGCTGACGGTTCTGGACACGGTGGTCCTGCTGGTTCTGGAGGTGCTGGCGAGGGGAGGTCTGACGCTGCTGGGGCCTCTGGTGCTGACGTCGCCGACTCTGGGGGTGCTGCGGCGGAGGGTGCTGGTCCTGGTGCTTCTGGTGCTGCGGGTGCTGGAGGTGCTGGCGGAGCTCCGCCGTCGCGCCTGTTCTTCGCTCCTCCGTCACCGTCGGCTTTGCCACCGCCTGACACGGTGCTTCGCCAGGTTCTTTCCCTCCCGTCTTCCACTGGCCTTCCCCTCCAGCCTGGCTCCCCCCTCCCTGCTCCTGTACCTTACACTGCACTGCCGGACTCGCTTACGGAGCGTCGTGAGCCTGTGTCTCGTCCTGCCTCGCCTGTTCGTGCTCTTCGCACTGCTCGCACTGCGCGCACTGGTCCCACTGGTCGTCGTGTCGCGCGTCCGCGTCCTCCTCCTGTTCCTGGCACGCATATTATGGCCCTTCGTCCTTCCACTGGTCCACAGCGTGTCCCCCTACCGTCTCCTCCTGCGTCTTCTCTTCCTGACGTTCCCGACCCTGAGTCTGACAGTGTTCGTGCTGCCCACCCTACTGTTACGCGTCTTCTCGCCACTGTTGTCACTGACCCGTCGTTTGAGTCTTCTGCTGCGTCTGCCCTGGTCGCTGAGCTTGTCGACTTTGCTGCTGCATGTCGCCTAGACTACGCCGCCAGTCTTGTTGCTGAGTCTGAGTCTGTCTGTCCTCCGTCCGTCGGGGGTGAGTGTGCTCTTGGCACGGACGTCCTTGAGGACAGGCAGGAGGACTTTGACTCTCTTGCGGCTGCTGTACCTCATCTCGTGGCCTGGTTGCTTGCCCCTGAGGGAGACCCGGATGCACTAGACATCCCCACTCCGCGCTCTTACGCAGAGGCGATCTCGGGTCCCTACTCCTCTCAGTGGCAGACAGCCATGGACGCAGAGATGGCATCCTGGAAGTCCACAGGCACCTACGTCGACGAGGTTCCCCCTCCTGGGGCGAACATCGTCGATGGCATGCGGATTTTCAGGGTGAAGCGGCCGCCGGGTTCTCCGCCTGTCTTCAAGGCTCGTTACGTTGCTAGAGGCTTCAGTCAGCGCCAGGGGGTTGACTTCTTCCAGACCTTCTCCCCCACCCCGAAGATGACCACTCTTCGGGTTCTGCTGCACGTTGCTGCTCAGCGTGACTACGAGCTTCACTCTCTTGACTTCAGCACAGCTTTCCTGCAGGGCAGCCTGCACGAGGAGATCTGGCTGCGCCGCCCACCTGGCTTTACTGGGTCGTTTCCTCCTGGTACCCAGTGGAGCCTCCGCCGGCCAGTCTACGGTCTCCGCCAGGCGCCACGTGAGTGGCACGACACACTGAGGACTACACTTGCGGCCCTTGGGTTCGCGCCGTCTACTGCTGACCCGTCGCTGTTTCTGCGCACAGACACGTCGCTACCGCCGTTCTACATTCTCGTGTACGTCGACGACTTGGTCTTTGCTACTGCTGACACTGAGGCACTCGCTCGTGTGAAGTCGGAGCTGCAGAAGAGACACACCTGCACTGACCTGGGTGAGCTGCGTAGCTACCTTGGCTTACAGATCACCCGGGACAGAGCACGCCGCACCATTACCCTGACTCAGTCACACATGGTGCAGCAGGTCCTTCAGCGCTTCGGCTTCCAGTTCTCCTCACCACAGGCCACACCTCTGGCTACCAGCCACTCGCTCTCAGCTCCACCTTCGGACGAGTCCGTAGAGCCGAGTGGCCCGTACCCAGAGCTTGTAGGCTGCCTCATGTACCTGATGACTTGCACGCGACCTGACCTCGCGTACCCTCTTAGCATCCTTGCTCGTTACGTTGCGCCTGGGAGACACAGGCGAGAGCACTGGGAGGCTGCTAAGAGGGTGCTGCGTTACTTGTGCAGTACATCAGGCATGGGGCTGGTGCTTGGAGGACGCGACAGAGTTGTTCTCACTGGTCACTCGGACGCTTCTTGGGTGGACGACTTGGCTACGCAGCGGTCGTCGCAGGGTTACACCTTCAGCCTTGGCTCTGGTTCTGTCTCGTGGCGGTCCACCCGCTCTTCTTCTGTTCTCAGCTCTAGTTGTGAGGCTGAGATCTACGCCACGGCCATGGCTGCACAGGAGTTACGCTGGCTCACCTACCTGCTGACTGACTTGGGAGAGCGGCCTAGTTCTCCTCCAGTTCTGTACGGCGACAACAAGGCGGCCCTTGCCTTGTGTCAGGAGCACAGACTGGAGCACAGGACGAAGCACATTGCTCTTCGCTACTTTCTTGCTCGAGAGCTGCAGCAGCGAGGTCAGCTTCGGCTTGTGTACGTGGACTCGAAGGCCAACACTGCTGATATCTTCACCAAGGCGCTCCCGCCTAGTGATCATCAGCGGCACTGTACTTCTTTAGGCCTTGTGTCCACATTCCCTCATTTGCTTACTGCTTGACTTTCTTTGTACTGTACTTTATATATATCTTTTTGCTTGCTTGCTAGGTTTTGATCACTGTGTTGCTTGTCTTGTACTATATCTAGCACTGCATGTGAACTGGTCTTGTGACCCTTTGTTCTCCCCCACTTTGCCTATGGGGGTGTGTTAAACTGTTATATGTTGGTAGGCTGTAGTGGGGTAGCCAGTATGGGGTACAACCCCAACTAGGGTTAGCTACTTGTACCCAACTGTTTCATTCAATGCACCATTCTCACGCTAGTATTCTGACACCCGTACCCTGACTGGTAGGGTAATTTTTCTCGTACACTGATTGTAGCAGCCTAAACATTCTGGTACACTGATGTCAGCGGGGTAATATATCCCATACACCGTTTCCTTCACACAAATATTTACTACACCAGCAGTTACTACTCACTAAAGTTTTATGCACACAAACTTTACTATCCCGTTAAATAAACCATCCTAAAGCCACTACTCAACGTCTGCTGCACTAGCAATTGCTTCGTCTGCAAGTTGTGCAGTGCTGGCCTTCATGCCGGAGAAGTCCTTGGTGGATTGCCTGAGCTTCTCACCGCGGAATACGGTGACCACCTCGTACCAGTCTATGCCGTACTGCGGGAGGGAGCACCGCATCAGGTGCTCAAGGCTTGTGTCGCCGAGGCTGCCGCGGTCCCACGTCTTGATCAGGTTCTGCTTGCTGAAGCCGCGCTATAGTTCTCTCTCAGCCGAGGCAACACACCGAGAACGGAGAGACCGTTCCTGGTGCTACCAGGCGGATCTGGCTGTGAGGCAGGCATTCGGAACAACAAACGAGAGACAAGTGAGAGAATGGCGAGAGTCTGAGAGACCCCTTGGAAATCACAAAGCCCAAGGGGCCTCAGGCAGCACGGTTCCCGCGCACCGTGGAAACTGCATGGCAGAGGCTGCAAGACCACAATGACTGCCAGGTGGTGCAAACGACAGCACGTAACCCACCTGCCGCGCAATTTGGCAACGTTGGCAGTGAGCGGTGCTTCGGGAGCGCACGAAAACCGGGCGCGTTGGCTTTGATGTTGCTCAACGGACCAACCGTAGGTGTGCGCGTGCATCCGCACTGCTTCTACGTTGTGGTGTATCGAACAAATGGTCCAGTGGGACCGTGGTGCATTTTGTCTTGGCGCGTACTGGCGGAATCCTCGGTAAAACAGAGTTTCGGTAAAAGGGTAGTTGAGCCCCTACCCTGATACAGTCAGTGTAACTAAAAAACGTAGAGTACTTTTTATAGTATCCTGATTTCACTAGGGTAAAAAGTTCCATACCCTGATTTCAAAAGGGTAACTGCCAAAAAGTGGCCTACCATCAGGCTAAAAAGGGTAAAATACCCTTGACATTTGGGGCCTGAACAGGATGTTGGTTGGTGCTGGTACCGAAGTGTAACCTGCAATCTCCCATCCGCGAACAAATCAACAATGCAATGTAGGGGCAATCAGGCACACTGGTGGGTGCGAAGGCTGTGGCAGGCATCAAGAGCGGGCGGGGTGAACGCGTGGGATGTGGGAGATGGCATGGCGGCGCAGCGACCACGGGCTCACTCCTGCCTTGTGTGCCGCCATCACCCCCTGCGCCTCCCAGTAGTTGCCCACCACCACCTGCCATGCACATGGCCCCAGGGGGAGAGTAGCACGCACACCCCGGGAAGCAAGAGCAAGAGCAGAGAGAGAGAGAGAGAGAGAGAGAGAGAGAGAGAGAGAGAGAGAGAGAGAGAGAGAGAGAGAGAGAGAGAGAGAGAGAGAGAGAGAGAGAGAGAGAGAGAGAGAGAGAGAGAGAGACTAAGGTGAGGAAGCAGGTACGATGGAAATCAACAGAGGAGTGAGGATTGCTGCTGTGCCCTAATGCCCACATGCAGCGAAGCTTGAGCATGGAAGGCCATGGAACGTTGCGACTCACAGCAGGGATGCCAAACTTGGAGGGCGGGTCGTCCATGACGGTGGTGTTCTCCTCCACCGCTATGAACAGCGGCTGCCATGCACCACGGGACGCCCACAGGCACGTGCAGGGAGGGCAGAAAGCGGCGCAGGGAATGCAGGTGCAATGATGAGCATTCAGCTACATGCAGCAGAGCAAGTGTGTGCAGTGAAGCATGTTGCTGTGAGCCCATGAGCCCAGAGCAGTTACAGCAGCACAGCATGGCAGCGTGCACCACAGCATGGCAGCGTCCAGCACAGCATGGCAGCGTCCAGCACAGCATGGCAGCGTCCAGCACTGACCGGGCCACCTGGTCGGTGTGCGAGGGCGTGGGCGGCAGGGCCCCCGAAGGCATTGACGGGCAGCACCACACAGTCCACGTCCTCCGCCCACACCACCCCGCCACCTCCCCCCATGCTACTCATGCTTGTGCTCGTGCAACTGCTGCTGCCAGCATCACTGCTGTAGTCCCATGCGCCCCCAATGATGGTGGGGATGGTACTCGCAATCGCCGCCCCCTCCTGCCCCTCCTGCCCTCCGCCTGCCCCTGTGCGCTCGGCTGCGGTGGTGGGAGGGGCGTGGCGGGAGACGAGGCGGGGCGCGCGTGAGAGGCCAGCCAGCACACAGGGCAGGAACGTGTGCCCGATCTGAGGGGCGCACGTGTGTGGGGGGAGGGTAGGACGAGGCAGCATCAGCTGGGGCCGCAAGAAAGTGACTTGCAGTCGGCAGCGAGCAGCATGGGTGAGCGCTCACCTCTTCAGCGGCGGAGCGCGGGGCGATGGAGGGCAGGAGCGGGAGGGGGGCGAGGGCGGGAGCGTGGGCGGCAGGGAGTTGGAAGCGGTGGACGATGAGGTGGGAGATGACGGCCTCCACGCCCGCCAGCACGTCCACGCCGCTCCCCTCGCGGTACTGCTGCAGCGCCTCCTCCGCATCGTCAGGGAACCGTGCCACCACTCCCACCGCGTCCACCCCATGCGCCCCGCCAGTGGATGCTGCTGCGGGCGAGAGAGCGTGCGCGTGGGAGGGCGGGTGTGCGGCGAGGGGCGCGTCGAGCAGAGTCTGCACGGCGCGCAGCAGCGAGTCGGCCTCTTCGATTCGCCCTGTGGCCGCACCTGTGGCGCCGTCCACCCACTTGTGCACCTGGTGCCCGACCCCCACATGCCCAGGGGCACACGGGCTTGGTCAGACGCACGCAGACACACATATGCCGTGAGAAAGGCAGGAAGTGTGAGAGCGTGTGACGGGTGTGGGAAGGAGCAGGCAGGAGCAGGCAGGAGCAGGCAGGAGCAGGCAGGAGCAGGCAGGAGCAGGCAGGAGCAGGTGGGCGCAGGCGACCTTGAGGGGGCGGTCGGTGACGGTGTACCCCACTATGTCAATTCCCAGCGTCGCTCTCGCTGCGTCTGCCACCTGCAGGGGCGAAGGAGACGTGGGGCAGGGCGCAGGTGGGGCCGGGGGCAAGTAGGATGGGGAGCATGTGGAGCAAGGTGGTGAGGGCACAAGCAGGCAGGGCGGAACCGGGGCAAGGCGGAGCGGGGCAAGGGGGAGCGGGTCAAGGGGGAGCGAGGCAAGGGGGAGCGGGACAAGGGGGAGCGGGGCAGCAGGAACCTGCAGGTGGCGTTGGAGGAGGTCCTCTTCGATGGCCTGGTCGAACACCAGCCCCACGCGGTTGCTGTGCACCGCTTGCAGCCCCCACTCGCCGCGCGCGAAGCGGTCCAGCGCGTGGCCCTCCACGTAGAGCGCGCGCGGCAGCGGCCAGTAGAGCATGGCGCCGTTGAGCACGTTGGGGTGCGCGATCAGACACTCCGCCACGCTGCTGAACGCGCGTGCCACCGGCAGCGCGTCCCCCGCGAACCCCCCGATCTCCGCGCCCACGCCCGTGGGCACTATCAGCACCGCCACGTAGGGGCGCTGCGCGGGGGACGCCTGCGCGGAAACAGGGGGGTTAAGCCGGGGAAGCGGCAGAGGTGTGGAGAAAGATAAGCCGCGCGGCGAGGGCGAGTGGATGCGAGGGGCGCTGCATCTCACCACGACTCATCTCAACACGCTACATCTCACCACGCTGCATCGCGGTCCGCACTGTTGGCGTAATTGCGGCTCATTCGTGTCACGCGTTACCGCCAACGCCCTGTTCCGCCACTCCCCATCCCCTCGTAATCCCTCCAACCCGCCCATGCGGGCGATCTGCGGAGACAAAAGCGGCGCATTGTGAAAGCGCGAGTGCGCCAAGGAGCAGCTTGCTCGACGCGCGAGTGTGGCTGCGGCGGGGCCATTTTTGTCGCTGGCGGAAAGAGAAGGTGGGCACTGCGCGTTACAGGCGGGGCGAGGCACTGCGAGAGGGTTCATGACGTGCGGGTGTGGCTGGATTGATAGTGTTGCCGCGGTTTCAGAACGAGTGGGCCGCTGGCTGCACTTGACTAGCTCTGATAATATGCAACTATCTCGTCCGTCGAATTCCCTCCAAAATCGCTCATTCCGAATTCACGCCCCTCGAATTCCCTCCAAAAAGTGCAAGTGGGTCGGGGTTTTGCAACTCGTTTTACGCCTCTTCGAATTTGGGTTCATACAATGTATGCCAGAGTCTTTCCCAAACCACTCAAGAGCACAAGAAAACCAGACTCCCCCCGATAGTGACGACAGCCCTTGCGCTAGAGTCTCAACCCTCGCGACTGTGCCCTCCGATTCAGCCACACCTTCTCGAATCTCCGAGCTGTTCATGTCAAGGCCCACCGATGATGATCCCAAGGTTGGTGGCCGTGCTCCCGAGAAGTCGTCCCGCATATTTCAACCAACATGCTCGACACTGCGGACTACTTCTGACCCATTCGAGTTTCTGCTCTATTGACCATTTCATTCAAGAATAATTTATGAAGACCGTGTGAGGTCGCACGCTTTGTGGTCAAAATCGGATAATGCTTGCTGCTGAGATCGTTGGCGTAAATTAGGTCGTCGCTTGGCTCGCGATTACTAAGTAATCACCATGCTTTGGGATTGTCGCACGGTTGCGAACCCTGAAGTGCATTTCAATTGAGCACGAGGACGGTGCGGGTGGACAGGAACAAGCGACAGGCAAGGGCAGGAGTAGGCCGCGACGAGCTGCTTGCATGTGTGCGCTGGTGTGGTCGCGCTGGCGTGCACACCGTATCGGAGACACTTGTAACGAGGCATCGTCCAGAACGGACCATCAAAGGCCGCCATGAACTACACCGGCATCCTCGCCGCTCTTTTCTACGGTAGGCATTAGGTCACTTCCAAGGTCACGTTAGGGGTATGTCAAGCAGTACGACGCAAGATTTTCGGTCCGCTACATTAACATCACTCGTTGCTGCTCCACGTGCTCCCATCGCCGATCGTGATTCACAATCTGTAGTTTCCTGGTCGCAATTTCGTGTCGCGAGCACGGGATCCCAGTCAGTCTCGCAATCATCATTGTCGTAATCCACCCGCTCATGTGTTTTCCCCCAAAACTTCCCACCACCCCCCTCCCCGTTTCCCCTCCTTCTCCCCCCGCGCGGGGCACGGCAGGGTTGATGTCGGTGGCGTCGGTGTTCATAAACAAGGCGCTGTTCCACGTGTACCGCTTCAAGTTCCCCTACACGCTCGTCTTCTTCCAGACGCTCTTCACGCTCGCGCTGCTCGCCGCCATGCGCCAGCTGCGTCTCATCCGCGTCACGCCCTTCCACCTGCACGTGCTCCGACGCGTGAGTCTGTGGGGAACCGAATTAGTGTGTGGGGAACCGAGTGAGTGTGTGGGGAACCGAGTGAGTGTGTGGGGAACCGAGTGAATGTGTGGGGAACCGAGTGAGTGTGTGGGGAACCGAGTGAGTGTGTGGGGAACCGAGTGAGGGCGTGGGAAAATGAGGGCGCCTGGTAGGGCAAGTGAGTGCGTGGGCATGCCAGCCCTTTCATTGTCTCTTCACCTTCCCTCCGTTTCCTCTTCGACCCTTGTTGCATCATCCCCACACCGGCGTTCTTTTGTCCTTCTCTCTTGGCGTCCTCCCTCAATGTCCCCAGGTATCGCTGCTGTCCTTTGCCTTCCTATTGAAGCTGCTGCTGGACATGGCGGCACTGTCCCGAGTGAACATCCCCATGTACGGCGTGCTCAAGTCTGCCACCACGCCCTTCGTGCTGCTCCTTGACTTCCTGCTGCGTGCCAAGCATGCCTCGCCACGCATCCAGCTCGCCGTCTACACCACCGCGCTGGGGGGCGTGGTGGCAGGTGCGGGCGACCTCACGTTCGACCCGGCGGGGTACGTGCTGGCGCTGTCGTCGGCGCTGGCGACAGCAGCATACGTGGTGATCGTGGGGAAGCTGGGCGAGGAGCTGCAGCTGGACTCGTTCACGCTGCTGCTCTACAACAACTGCTGGTCGCTGCCCTTTGCCTTCCTGCTCGTTGCTGCCAACGGCGAGCTGCCTGCCGTGCAGCGAGTGCTGCAGTCGCGCGACGCCGTGTTCCTTGTGTGCTTCGCGCTGTCCTGCGCCTCTGCCTTCATACTCAACCTCGCCACATACCTCTGTACACTAGTTAACGACAGCCTCACTACCAGCATTGTTGGTGGGTCCTCCTCCCGTTACCCTCTCACTCAACCCATCTCTTGCCTGGCCTTTACCACCCCTCTCCGCCATCTGATGCCTGTCTGCTGTGCGACGTTCTTCTCACTCGCTTGCTCTCCTGGTTCCATTCGTCCGTCTCTTGTGCTCCCCCCCTTCCCACAGGTCGCACTAAGTCGATTTTGCAGGGCTTCGGAGGCCTCTTTGCATTCGGGGATGTGCTGGTCAGTTGCTCTCACTCTCCCCGCTACCCTCCGTCTCTATCTCACCTGAGTAGCTGCTGCTTTATCTGCCGAGAACAGTTATTCATCTGCCTCCAATGTGCTGTTACTTGCCTGCAGGTTAGCCCAACCAATCTTATAGGTCTGATAGTAAACTCAGGAGGAGTGGGGTGGTATGCGTACGAGAAGTACGTGGAGGCCAAGGCTAAGCAGAAAGGAGCGTATGCTTTGTTGGCAGAGCGCCACCATCACGATGCTGACAGCAGAACAACCATTGCTAGAGATGGCTCGCAGGTGGGTTGGGGTTCATTTGTGAAGCAAGTGGTTGTATGGATGGGGAATTTGGGTCCATAGTGATGTGTGGGTGGCGTCTACAGGAACACATGGTGCACCTGTGTTCATGCCCTCAATGTGCACACATGTTGCAGATGTTGCTCGTGGCTGAATAACTCGTATGTTGGTGTGTGCATCTGGGGTGTGTGTTTGTGTGTGTGTGTGTGTGTGTGTGTGTGTGTGTGTGTGTGTGTGTGTGTGTGTGTGTGTGTCGCTGGGGGGGGTGGGGGGCGGGGTGTGGGCATTCACAATTTCTGGGTTCAATGCTTACACATGTGTGGTTTGTGCTCTCACAGGTGACCATTGTTTTCGATGACCATAAGAAGGAAGACTTACCTGAGACAATGAATGGGAGTGTGAAATCCCAAAACTCTTAGGCCACGTCTTGGAGGTTATGACATGGGTGGCAGATATGGCGTAGATTCGCCAAAAAAAAAAGAGTTGTAATTTGCTGAAAAGTATGAACGAGAGTGAGGTGGCACGAGATATGCAGTGATCTTATCTTTGTAACAATATGCTCCTAGATGCTGCTTATACTGAACTGAGAGCCAAACCATCCGCACAGATCTGGGTTTCAGAATATGCTGCTACAAAACTGCCCTTCCGGAGAGTGAGCACTCTCCTGGGCAGGAGAAACCACTCCGCCCGTTGAGCAGATCCGCTTCACGCAACTGGTTGACTGATCTCTGGTGGATCTTTTCAGAGTGCCCGCACGAACTGCTGCTGACAATGAGGCGTTTGTCCGCACGGTACTGGTCGATGTGCAAGTGACTGGATGAAGATCTTTCAATGTGGCTGATCGGACCGTGAGAACCTGGCCAGGTCAGAACGTCACGCTCCTTTCCATTCGCATGAGTTCCGGCTACGTGGCGACTCCGGCTCACACATGTGCCCTTTTGGCGCGGCAATGCGTCAGCCTGATCCAGTCGGGGAAGTTGACATATTTGTTTCGCTCAACTTCAAGCTTCCATTCCTCACCTTTCTCTTCTCTCTATCCCAATCTCCACCATGGCACAAGCTATGATTGTTGCCCAGATGGCCGAGTGTGGCGCCGTTCCACTCGGTGTTCGCGCTCAGTCCCATTCTGTGACTCGACGAGTGAATCTGGCTAGCTCCCTGTCGGTAAAGCGTGTCGCGGTTCTTCCATCGTCTAAATCTTTTGGTGTGTCCTTCACAGCTTTCTCAAGGCCCGAGGTCGCCAAGGCCGAATCTGCCTCTCGATTGAAAATTGTCGCGCAAGCCCAGGCAGGTGCTGGCGCTGGTTCCTCTCCGGAGCCCAAGGCAGTGTCGACTACTGAGGCTGATGACTTGGCGTTTAAGGTTAAGATTGGTGGATATTTTGCACTGTGGTGGACGCTGAATGTTGTTTTCAACATCTACAACAAGAAAGTGCTCAACGCCTTCCCCTTTCCATGGCTATGCTCTACGCTTGCCCTTGCTGCTGGAGTCACGATCATGTTGCTGTCCTGGGCTACGCGTCTGGTGGAGTTCCCCGACACAGATCTGGACTTCTGGAAGACGTTGTTTCCTGTTAGTATTTCATCCTATCATTAGTCTTCTTTGTCAGTTCCTTTTGTTCAGTTGTGCTGCGTGCTGAATCTTGCCATCGCTTGAAATACATGCTAATCCTCGTGTGCTCTGATTCATCTCTCATCAGGTTGCCGTCGCCCACACCATTGGTCACGTAGCTGCAACCGTGAGCATGTCCAAGGTCGCTGTTTCCTTCACTCATATCATTAAGAGCTCCGAGCCTGCCTTCAGCGTCGTCGTCCAGAGCCTGATGGGCGAGCACTTCGCGCTTCCCGTCTACTTGTCGTTGCTCCCGATCATTTTTGGTTGTGGTCTCGCAGCTCTAACTGAGCTGAACTTCAACATGGGAGGTAGGTTTGATATCTCTATTACCATGAGCAATCTGCTGCGTGACGAAGTCTGAAAGACGATCCCTGTTTTGTGTGTGCAGGCTTCATGGGTGCCATGATCTCAAATCTGGCATTTGTTTTCCGAAACATTTTCTCGAAAAAAGGAATGAGCTCTGGCAAGAAGGTCGGTGGCCTCAACTACTACGCCTGCCTGTCAATCATGTCCCTCATCATCCTCATTCCCTTCGCCATTTGGCAAGAGGGCTTCCCGATGTGGACAGCCGGTTGGCAAACTTCTCTCGCGGAGGTTGGGCCAAGAATTGGCTGGTGAGTGCTGGGCTCTGTTATATTCTTTCGAACCGAACGAAAGGTTTGAGCAAATGAACTAAATCACACGCACTTTGGATCACAGGTGGATTGCGGCTCAGAGCGTTTTCTACCACTTGTACAATCAAGTCTCCTACATGTCGCTGGATCAGATTTCTCCTTTGACATTCAGCATTGGAAACACGATGAAGCGTGTGTCCGTCATTGTAGCGTCCATCATCATCTTCAGAACTCCAGTTCGATTGATCAATGGCGTTGGAGCCGCTATTGCCATTCTTGGAACCTTCCTGTACTCTCAGGTAAGCCCACTGCAGCTTGACGATTTGATTGCTGATTTGTGGCTGCGTGTATTAAGTTCTTGACGTTTTGTTGCCATGTTCTCTGCAGTCGATTGAGGCCCAGAAGAAGGCAGCGAAGGCCAAGCCCGCAAGTGCGTCTTAGGTTCAATGCTGACATGCTCTGTGGAATGTGCAATAACTTGGGCAGTAGATGTACATGCCAGCAGCATGATTACGTTTGCACCTTGTTTCTAATGTTTCCAATGTGTAGAACATTAGCTTTTGCTTGATTAGGATTGGTGTATTGTGGTCTTGAAATTGTGTTTGAAAAATGAGTAGCTATGTTTTGTTGGAGCCTAAGATACATTTTCAAACACTTGCTCCAAGGAGCAGGCAAAATGACACTTCATCCAGTACCACCCCGAAGTTGTGTGCACAAAGCAACGTCTTCCAAGCAACCCAGTTCACACTTTCTGGGTTACATTCAGAATAGTCCTTACATACCACCTTAATGTCCACGGAGTCAACAGGGGACATTTGGATGTATGACTCCAGCCTGTTCGTCTCACCATCTGCAAAGATAACAGAGTCAACCTTATAATGACATTTTGCTTGAATGGGGAATCAGTGTGAATGGAAGGCATATGCTGACCTTGAGAGAAAATGCATGGATACGTTGGAGGGCTGGCTAGCCAAATGTTTGTGATAGTGTCACGCATGTGAGACCGATCAGACGCAAAGAATCTGAAATAATTGGAAGCAGAAACCACCCTGTAAAGCCTGCACAATTCCAAATAGAAACAGATACAAGATTAGGTACCCATGGCTGTGCATTGAGGCAACTAGTGTAAGTAAAGAGTAGTGGGAATAAGGATGGGACAAGTCAAGCTTACAGCCAACCTTTGATAAGAATCTTGTAGAGGAAGGAGGGAAGTTCTCCCAGCCCACAGCGCTCGCCGCACATACTCGGTTGCAAGACTTGGAAAGGCCAATACTGTGTCAAGGTCCCACACATACCACTTGCGACACCTACTCCTTTCAGATCCTGCTCCGTCACTAACTCCCTCTCCATTGATGTGCTTCACATGGATGGCAATGACATGGTAGTCCCAAACCACCAAACCCTGCTCCTCCCCACCATTGCCCCCCTCATTCCCACTGTTATCATCGGAGCGACACATGCTGGCCTTCTGACACCACATGGGAACCTGCAGGCGGGTGGCGCAGGATAGGTGCGACGAGGAGAGTGGGTGAAGAGCTCACTCGGTAGTGATCTACCAACAGAAAGCGAATAGAGTGTCCCTTGAAGGGACATACGAAAGAGCTATGAAGTGGATGCAATGGATGAGTAACTATGATCTCAAGTGAACGGGGCACCTTGCGGTCAGGATTGGAAATGAAGACGACGGCCAAATCATCCACGTGTGCGACGCCTTTTGAAACCAGCGAACGACAGAGCAAATACACGTTTTCCTCACTGCAACGAATGGCAGGGAAGATAATCGTGGGATGGTTGGCACAGCAATCCATGTGGATACCCTCGCAAGCAAATAAGTTTGAAAGGCAGCTTCCGCTTCTCGCACCAGTAACAAGAAGTGTAAGTGAAGTCAGATCGACGAGGCATGGACATGGCTTCTCTGTCTACAGAACACGGCGACTCTTGCTCCTCGTGCTGAACAGCAGACTCCATGAACTCCGTACCATTCACTTTCTTCCTGCTAAACTGAAATCGCGTAAATCGCGGCAGCCTGAACATTAGATGGAATAACTACGAAACCTAGATGATGGTGATTGTTTCTTGGCTTTGGCAAGACATGGATGTGGTGTGGTGTGCATTTTAGGGCGGTTCTGTATGGTGAAGGGAATCCACCCAAAGTCAGAAAAGGCGAGCCTGCAATTTTGATTGGTGAACGCCACGCCTACAGTCACAGCCAATGTGCCAGAGTGAGCGAGGCGTGAGTTGGCGACACTGGTGCGCACTTTTGCGATGACGCATCGCCCATGCGAAATTGCTGTCCCCGACCTGACGGCCTCTTGCATCAGATTGGCGATGCTGTTTTTGTGCATATACTACAAGCACACTCGGACCCACCAAGGTGAATGGTTCAGAAAGGTTGACAAGGGTTCAGAGGATGGTACACAATCCCCACTGCAAACACCATTGTTTTGAACTTGACAGGGAGTTCAAACATCCCCCTTTCGCCTAGCTGCCAACCAGCGCAGCACCTGAAACGCCGGCCGAGCCATGAAACTCGTTTCTGAAGGACATCCGTTTCCCAAAAATGCCAAACACGAAAAGGGTATGCCAACGGAGAAGCAATGTGGAGCCGCAAATGCAGCGATATGGAGGTTTACAATATTCAGAAGACAGGTTCATCTGGTCAGTGGAAGTTCGGTCAGGCAAGCAACGGAGCCGCACGGGCAGAACTGAGCTGGTCCGGCAACTAGTGCTGACGACAAATGGCCGAGTATTCCTGCAGTGGATGGACATCAGGTGGCATATTGGCATGGAAGAGAGCTGAGCGAGATGCGTGGATACGGAAACATGCTGAGAGATAAGTGGGTGAATTAGCGAGGTTCCTCATGGTCCCACCGGCGCCATTCCTCCTTCCGCTCTCCTGTCACTACTTCAGACGCTTTCCCTCGCAGAGCGACAATAATTGGAGAGATGCGAACGCAAAGTTCAGATCTTAGCAGTGCGCTGATGATAACTCTCACAAATGACCACAGGCGATGCGTGATGCATGCCATTGCATCCAACGTGTGCACTGCGCTTTGTTCAGTCCCTGAAATTCCTTCTCCACATTACATCACGTGACGAGTTCTTTCTAAACACACAGCACGTGTTCGCCATATACCAGGCCACCATCAGTATGCAAGAAAGGTGAGTGGCAAGGCACGAGTTTACTGCTAGCTCATTGTTACCAGATATCCTACGAGTAGTGGCTCTCCACAGTGGTCCATGCATGCGAGACAGAAGGTGGAGGTTTGAAGAAGACGAAATGATGGTGAGACTGCATGCGGATGACGAAAATAACGTGTAATATCGCTCCTTGTTTCATGGCATGTGCAATGTACTTTCAAAACTCACATCTCGAAACATGATCAAAGAGCTAACAGGAAAGTGTACAAGGCAACCTGTTGACGCGGGACGGCACAAGCATGTCGTTAAGTTATTCTCTATATGGTCAGGAAAAGAGGGGGAGGAGATGAACGATTGCCTGCAATACAGTAGGGGAGCTGCTAGCCATCCAACCAGCCTCAGCCGCTGAAATTAAACTGAGAACTTCCACTCCTTCTCCAGCAACAATGCTGGGCGCCTCCCACCATGCTTGCAGTGGAAGACGGCAATGACCTGCAAGTATCAAGGGGACAAAACGATTAGTAATAATCAGAAGGACAACATCAACATACAATGGCGACCTTGTATGGCCGCTTACCTTGAAAGGACCACCTTCATCGGTGTGCTTGTGGTACTCGACTTCAGCCCGCTCCCTGTGGTGCCAGTATGACACCTCCAGGTGATCCCTTTTCAACTTCTGCTTGATCTGAAATCCCACGGCCCATTTCCCCTCGCCGAAGTCGTACAGTGGCTTAAAGATGGTGTCCTTGTACCTGTGCTCCAATCGCACCAAAGGACCTTTCTTGGCGAAATTGTGTTTCACAACTGCCTTAGTGTCATCACTCAGTGTGGTGTTGGCCTCCAGCGTCGTCACATCGGGGCCGTGGTGGTGGACGAAGGTAAGATATACGGGCTTATCGGCCACTTTCGTGTGCCCATGGAATTGGAACCTTGTGGACTGCATAGCGTGGTGTGGGAAAGAACGATTTTAGCTCATACGATGTAAACAAAAAACTGAAAGGACGACTTCTTTTGGGTGCATGTTTTCAAGCTTACCTTCTTGTGAAAGTGATGTTCCAAAATGAAATGACCAGGCTTTTCCACCGCGACTTCTGTGTCCTCCCTGACACTTCCAACATCCCTCAAGGTCTTGTCCGTCAATGAAAGCTTCAGCTTCAAGTCTTCAAGCCAAACGCCTACAGTGGCCTGAAACTTCTCAGTCTCAGAATTGTACTTGGACTTGAGAGTGAGCTTCGTCATGGCGGACACCAAGGGAAGCAGCTACGGTAGATGAACTGACAGGAATGTGGAAGTACAAGGAGGAAGGAAATATTTGTGAATGGCGCTACTGTGAGGGAAAATTGGCATTTTGACGTTGTTGGGTGGTACGACATGTGCTTGGGGAGGAAAGTCCTGGCGTGCGGGACCTGCCCGAGGAAGTTTTTCGTAAGTTTTTATTGAGGAGGTTCTTCCGAAAATGCACAGCAGTAAAGTAAAAACTTTGTAAAACGGCCTCTTTCACAATTTCGGGGTCAGATCTAGAATATAGTAGACGGTGACCTGACAAATACGCATGACGTGGATCCTGGTCTGTCAAGGTGATGGGTATGACCTGGAAACTGGTTTCATTCCACGTGGAAGCAGTCGTTTCCTTCACTCAGCCTCGTCAGAGCTGACGTGCTGATGAGGCCACAATCCACCCTAGCCAATCTCAAGGCCCAACAGTAATTTCTGCGATTCCCTCGACTGCATCACTCTACTCTTTGCAAACAGACTCGGTTCTGTAGTACAGTTACCAGTATCTACCTTCCATCTGCTATTACGACCTCGGTTAGGCTAATAACGTGATAATAGATTTTGTAGGGTTTAGGGCCAGCTTTGCACTGCTAGGATCCAGGGTTTGTGCCTCCCAACAGAGCTCATTTTCAGTGTCCGACGATTCTCCATCGTCACCCCGTATCACGTCAGCAAACCTCGTTTCCGCACTTATGGCGCGGAAGAAAGGCGCCAAGCGCGGGGACGATAACGAGGACGAGGCGTCTGCAGCAGCGCCGGCCGTAGAGCAGGAAACCAAGAAGGGCGGTAAGGCCGCCCGGAAGAACCGCAAGGGGAGGGTCGGAGACGATGACGACTACGAGCCTCCGCCTGATGACGTGGCTGCAGCTGTTGACGACGTGGATGACGAACCAGTCAAAAGCAAGGGTAAGGGCAAGAGTGGTGCGTCGGGGTTCGCCGCGTTGATGGACGCAGAGAATGGCGGAGCGGCGGAGGATGCGGAGGAGGACGAGGAGGAGGAGAGGGCGAGGGGCGGGAGGGGCAAGGGAGGGAAGAAGGCAGGGCAGGGCGGAGGTGACGAGGACGATGACGAGGAGGCGAGGGGAGGCGGGGGTGGCGGAGGGAAGAAGGGCGGCAAGAAGGGCAAGAAAGGCCGAAATCGCCGCGACGACTTTGACGACGATTTCGCCGACCCCGTTGCGGACGCCGCGGCGGAGGAGAACGACAAACCCGCCGCTAAACCCGAGGAGGGGGACAGCGATGGGGCGGTGGGCCCAGGGTATTTGGTGGTGGGGGAGATAAAGTCGGTGCGCAAGGTAAAGAAGGCCGACAAGCTCAAGGCGTGCCTTGTTGACATCGGTGGCGCGTCGCCCATTCCGATCGTGTGCGGTGGGACCAATGTGCGCGCGGGACTGCGCGTGATCGTGTGCCCCGCGGGGTGCGCCGTGCCGTCGACGGGCGCGGCGGTGAAGAAGGCGAGCATCAAGGGCGAGGAGAGCCTCGGGATGATCTGCTCGCGCGCCGAGATGGGGTGGGCGGACGCCGCCACCGAGGTCGTCGAGCTGGACGCACGCGCGTTCAGCGTGGGGGATAAGGCGCCGCTGGAAGATCCCGATGGGGGGACCGGTGACGTGGCGGAGGAGGCGGATGACGTGGCAATGGCGTTCGCGGGGAAAAAGAAGGGGAAGAAGGGGAAGGGGGGTAAGGGGAAGAGGAGGAGGAGGAGGAAGAGGAGGAAGAATCGGCGGTGACGAGCATTGCGCGCGACGAGGAGGAGACGGAGGAGGACTCGATGGCCATGGCGTTCACGGGTAAGAAGAAGAACAAGAAGAAGGACAAGAAGGGCCGGAAGCAGCAGCAGCAGGAGGAGGAGGAAGAGGAGGAGGCGGGGGAAGAAGTAGCGGCGGAGGAGGAAGAAGAGGAGGAGGAGGTGGTGCCGAGTAAGAAGACGAGCTCCGCGCTGCAGCTGCTGGCGGCGCTGGGCGACGAGGGGGTGAGGAGGACGAGGAGGAGAAGGAGGAGGAGAGGGAGGAGGAGCAGGATGAGATGGCTATGGCGTTCAGCGGCAAGAAGAAGGCGAAAAAGGGCAAGAAGAAGATGACCTCCGCGCAGCTCCACGCGCTCATGGCGGAGGCCGACGGTGAGGCCGCGGAGGCGGCGGCGCAGGAGGCGGAGGAGGCAGAGGAGCGCAAGGAGGAGGAAGGGGGGAAGGGGAAGAAGGGGGGGAAGGCAGCGGCGGGGGAGGACGACATTGACGCGCTGCTGAAGGAACTCGAGGCGCCCAAGGCGGGGGGCGGGGGGGGAAAGAAGAAGAAGAAGGAGAAGGAGGGGAAGAAGAAGAGTGGGCGCACAGCGGAGGAGGAGGCGGAGCTCGATCGCATCCTCGCGGAGCTCGACGCGCCCGCGCCCGCGCCCGCCCCTGCGGGGGGACAGGCACCCGCCGCCGATGGGAAAGCGGATAGCGCTGCTGCTGAGGTGCAGGCGGGCAAGGCAGACGCCGCCACTGCTGGTGATGTTGCTGCAGAGGGGGAAGGGGAGGAGGAGGAGGCAGGGGGAGGCGGTGGAGGGGCGGAGTCCGCTGCAGCAAAGAAGAAGAAGAAAAAGAAGGAGAAGGAGAAGGCCGCCAAGGCCGCCGCCGCCGCTGCTGCTGCTGCTGCTGCTGCTGCAGGCGCGAAGGAGGAGGAGGCGGCAGCGGAGGGCGCGGGGAAGGCGGTGGATCTGAAGAAGCTGCCGAAGCACGTGCGCGAGATGCAGGAGCGGCTGGCGCGGCTGAAAGAGGCGGAGGAGAAGCGCAAGCGCGAGGAGGAGGAGCGCGCGCGCAAGGAGAGGGAGGAGGAGGAGCGACTGGCGGAGCTGGAGAGGCAGCGCGAGGAGGCGAAGCAGCGGCGCAAACAGAAGGAGAAGGAGAAGAAGGAGCAGCTTAAGAAGGAGGGGAAGCTGCTGACGGGCAAGCAGAAGGAGGAGGCGAAGCGGCTGGCCGTCATGCGCGAACAGCTGCTGGCGCGCACTGGGGGCGCGGAGGGTGATGAGGGCGCGGGGGCGGGCGGTGGGAGGAAGCGCGGCGGCGTGTTTGACCGGCGGAAGAAGGGGAAGCAGCAGCAGAAGCAGGAGGGTGGAAAGGAGGAGGGGAAGGAGGATGCGGAGGGGGGTGAGGAGGAGGAGGCGAAGGTGGAGGAGGGTGGGGATGGGGGTGTGGTGGAGAGTGTTAGTGAGGCTGTGGAGAAAGTGGACGAAGCAGCAAAGGAGGAAGAGAAGGAGGAGAAGGAAGAGGAGAAGAAGGCGGAGGTGAAGGAAGAGAAGGAGGAGGAGGAGGAAGAGGAGGAAGAGGAGGAGGAGGACTGGGATGCAAAGAGCTGGGATGCGGAGGAGGTGAAGATTCCCAAACTCAAGGGCGCGTTTGACGAGGAGGAAGAGGAGGAGCAGCAGCCGAGTGCCGTTGCTGCTGCCGCTGCTGCTGCCAAACCTGCTGCCAAGGCCAAGTCGGCAGACGGCGCTTCTAAGAAGGCCGCTGCTGCTGCTAAGGCGAAGGGTAAAGCAGCAAATGGCAAGGGGAAGGTGGAGGAGGAGAGTGAGGAAGAGGAGGAGAGCGAGGAGGAAGACGAAGATGAGGAGAGTGATGAGGAGGAGGGGGAGGAGGCGCGGAGGCTGGAAGCGAGGGAGCGGCGGGAGCAGCGGAAGCAGGAGGCGCTCAAGGCACGCAGCGCAGAGAACCTGCGGTCGCCCATCTGCTGCATCCTGGGCCACGTGGACACCGGCAAGACCAAGCTGCTGGACTGCATCCGCCGCACCAACGTGCAGGAGGGTGAGGCGGGCGGCATCACGCAGCAGATTGGCGCCACCTACTTCCCCATGGCCAACATCCGCGAGCGCACGCGCGAACTCAAGGCAGACGCGAATCTGCGCGTGCCGGGGCTGCTCGTGATTGACACGCCTGGGCACGAGTCGTTCACGAACCTGCGAGCACGCGGGTCAGGGCTGTGTGACATTGCTATTCTGGTGGTGGACCTCATGCACGGACTGGAGCCGCAGACCATTGAATCGCTCAACCTGCTCAAGATGAGGAAGACGCCCTTTGTTGTTGCCATGAACAAGGTGTGTGGGGGGGAAGGATGTGATGTGGGATGGATGGGTTGGCAGGCTCGTGCTGGCATGTGACGTTCTGATTGTGTGCCTGCCTCTATGTGTGTCCATGCCCTGCCATGGTCTCATGCCATGGCATCCCTCCACATCATGCCATGCATGTGTTATCCGCCCCGGCATGGCACGCCAGGTGGACCGCATATACGGGTGGAACGCCACGCCCAATGCGCCCATCCGCGCGGCGCTCAAGAAGCAGACGAGAGACGCCATCCTCGAGTTCGACCGCCGCACCGACCAGGTGCGTGCCTGGAGGGGGAGGGAAAGAGGGCAGGGTGGCAGGGGATGTGGGGGTCATGGGGTCATGGGGACAGGGGGGGGTGCTAAGGGACAAGGGGCAGGGGTGGAACGGGGGAAAGGGAGTGTATGGGTGATGTGCGTCTGGGTTGCAGAGGGATGGCAGCAGGATGTCATGAGCGGATCACCCCTCGTTGCCCTCATTCGCCTCTCCACTGGCCCCTTCTCACTGCTTGCCACCTCTTCTCACTGCTTGCCACCTCTTCTCACTGCTTGCCACCTCTTCTCTCTTCCCCTTCCCCTCCCCCCCCATCTCGCCCCTCCTTCCCATCCCTCATGCGGCGCGGCGTGCGTGGATTGGATGGGCGCAGGTGATGCTGGAGCTCAAGGAGCAGGGGCTCAACGCGGCGCTCTACTACAAGAACCCCGACGTGCGCAAGTTCATCTCAATCGTCCCCACCTCCGCCATCAGGCAAGCCCCGCTCACATGCCCACCATTCCCCCTCACTCTTCCATATCCCCTCCCCCTCCCCTCCCAACCACCCACTCCCCCGTTCTTCCGTGCCGTCGTCCCCAACCCCTCGGCCCCCCCTCATGCCTCGCATCTCTCCCCTTTGTCCCATCTCTCCCCCGTCTCCCCTCGTGCCCCCTCCCTCTCCCCCACACCAGTGGCGAGGGCGTGCCGGACCTGCTGCTGCTGCTGGTGCAGCTGACGCAGAAGCTCATGGAGGAGCAGCTCATGTACGTGGCCAGCGTGCAGTGCACCGTGCTGGAGGTCAAGGTCGTGGAGGGGCTCGGCACCACCATTGACGTCGTGCTCGTTAATGGCGTGCTGCATGAAGGGGATCAAATCGTTGTGTGCGGCCTGCAGGTGAGGCACACGGGTGTTGGGGGCTGCTGCTGGGGCGCACAAGCGGGCTGTAGGTGAGGGGGCGAAGGGGAAGGTGGGGGAGGAGGAGGGGGTAATGCGGGGTGAGAAGGCATCTGGCTCTGTGTTGGCGCTCCTTGTGGTCTGGGTGGCCGTGTGGCTTGCCTGAGAGGCAGGGAGGGGAAAGACCACAAGGCAGGCAAAGGGAGCGAAAGGAAGGAGGGAAGTGCCTGTGTCCTAATAACTCTTCACCTTCCACTGTGTGCCCGCATCTTGCTGACCTGTGTGGCTGTGTGTGTGTGCATGTGTCGCTGTGTGCTGCAGGGTCCCATAGTGACAACCATCAGAGCGCTGCTGACGCCACACCCCATGAAGGAGCTGCGAGTCAAGGTCCGTCACCCATGCCACCCTACCTCTCTTCTCTCACCTCCGTTCCTCACTGCCTGGATCTTGCCTCCAGCTGTGCCTCCAGCTGTGCCTCCAGCTGTGCCTCCAGCTGTGCCTCCAGCTGTGCCTCCAGCTGTGCCTCCAGCTGTGCCTCCAGCTGTGCCTCCAGCTTTGCCTCCAGCTGTGCCTCCAGCTGTGCTACATGTGAGGCATGTTTCTCCGCTCTGGATCACTATGAATGCCCCATAGTTGTTTCCCTCGCACTACCCACTACCTGCCCCATGTTTTGTTCCTCAGCTTCACCCTGCCTCTCGCATTCCCTCTTGAATCTCTCTTGCCCTTCCCACTTCCCCCAGGGTTCGTACATGCACCACAAGGAGCTGCGGGCGGCGCAGGGCATCAAGATCACGGCGCAGGGGCTGGAGCACGCAGTAGCAGGCACACAGCTGTACGTGGTGGGGCCGGAGGACGACGTGGAGGAGCTCAAGGAGGAGGCCATGGCGGACGTGAAGGGCGTGCTGGCGCGCGTGGACAAGAGCGGCGAGGGCGTGAGCGTGCAGGCGAGCACGCTGGGGTCGTTAGAGGCGCTGCTGGAGTTCCTCAAGAGCCCGGCGGTGAAGATCCCCGTGTCGGGCATTGCCATTGGGCCGGTGCACAAGAAGGACGTGATGCGTGCGAGTGTGATGCTGGAGAGGAAGAAGAAGGAGTATGCTGTCATCCTCGCCTTCGATGTCAAGGTGCGTCATCCTCGCATTCAATGTCAAGGTGCGTCATCCTCGCATTCAATGTCAAGGTGCGTCATCCTCGCATTCGATGTCAAGGTGCGTCATCCTCGCATTCGATGTCAAGGTGCGTCATCCTCGCATTCGATGTCAAGGTGCGTCATCCTCGCATTCGATGTCAAGGTGCGTCATCCTCGCATTCGATGTCAAGGTGCGTCATCCTCGCATTCGATGTCAAGGTGCGTCATCCTCGCCTTCGATGTCAAGGTGCGTCATCCTCGCATTCGATGTCAAGGTGCGTCATCCTCGCATTCGATGTCAAGGTGCGTCGTCCTCGCATTCGATGTCAAGGTGCGCTGCCCTGCGTCCACCAAGCAACACTGCTGACCTTCATTGCCCTTACACCCAGCTCTGCTAATATTCGCAGCCCTTTCACGCGTCCTTGCCCTGTTGATCCATTCTCCTTCTCACCCCTTCCTTCCCCCTGGCGGTGTGTGTGTGTGTGTGTGTGTGTGTGTGTGTGTGTGTGCGCGCGTGTGTGTGTGTGTGTGCGTGCGTGTGTGTGTGTGTGTGTGTGTGTGTGTGGCCGGCAGGTATCAACGGAGGCGAGGGAGATGGCGGAGGAGCTGGGAGTGCGCATATTCACAGCGGACATCATCTACCACCTGTTTGACCAGTTCACCGCATACATGGCGGGCGTCAAGGACGACAAGCGTGCGGAGGCGGCGGAGGAGGCGGTGTTCCCGGTGGTGCTCAAGATCCTGCCCAACTGCATCTTCAACAAGAAAGACCCCATCGTACTCGGCGTTGAGGTGCTGGACGGCATTGCCAAGGTGAGACAAGGGAGTTGACGGGAGGGAGCGTGCAGGAGCATGGGGGTTTATGAGAGGGTTGGGCAAGTGGTGTTTAGTCATGGAATAAACCTTTTGTAGAGGTGCCGTGTGTGCTTGTCATGCTGGGGGGCACCATGCTGAAACACATTTCCCCCTTGTTTTCCGCTGTGGCAGGTGGGCACGCCCATATGTGTGCCAGGGCGGGAGTTCATAGACATAGGCAAGATCGCATCCATGGAGAAGGACCACAAGATGGTTGAAACTGCCAAGAAGGGCCAGGCCGTCGCCATGAAGGTCAGCCGCTCGCATGCGCCTCCTCCTTCGCCCTCCGCCTCTGCACCACCTCTGCCCCTCTGTGTTGCCCCGCTTCACAGCGCTCCCCACTGTCACCTTGCCCTCACCTGCTGTGTGTGTGCGCGTGTGGGCATGAGGGGGTCAGATCGTGGGGGTGAATGCGGAGGAGATTCAGAAGTCATACGGGCGGCACTTTGACAGCGATGACGAGTTGGTCAGCCGCATCACACGCAACTCCATCGACCTCCTCAAAGAGAACTACCGCGTACGCCCCCCCCCCCCCCCCCCCCCCCCCCCCCCCCCACCCCCGCCACACCTGACCTCCAATGCTCGCGCCCTGCCCCTACTCCAACCACCGTCCCTCACTGCCCTGGCTTTCTCACTGTCACGACTCGGTTATTGTCAACTTCCCTGCTCACCCCGCCCTCCAATGCTCTCATTTCTGTTGCCACATATTCTGTTGCTAGCGTCTCCTCACATCTCGTCATCTCACTCCTACGCCATCCTCCCCCCTGCCCCGTGGCATGAACCAGGACGACTTGAGTCGAGAGGATTGGATTTTGGTGGTGAAGCTCAAAAAGCTCTTCGACATTCCCTAGGTGCCTCCAGTGATGTTGGTACTCTTCATGCACTATGCATCAAGAAGGATACTCTGGGGAAAATGAAGTTTTATTGCAACCCTCTGTGTACACTCCCAACAGTCAATCCCAACATATTCTGCAGAAACATGCATGCACACACTGACTCGAACACACACTGACTTGAACACACTAGCATGCCCCCCACACAAGCTGGCGTTTACATAAAGAAACGCATGGCATTGGCATTGGCAGAAAACCTCACTCTTCAAACCCCCATGAAACGCACACTCAAGGTATGACAGACGCACACGTGAGAAATTTACATGAGAGCACATTTGCGTGAGCATGAGCGCAATTGCATGAAACCCCCCCCATGCTATTGAACACTCGCACAGGAGCACATTGACATGACACCCCTCACAGTTGCAGCGAGTCACTACGGTATGCCCCTCTGTGGTCGGACATCCCACACTGAAACACTCCCCTCTCTGTTCCTCTGCTTTGTTGGATCGCAACACAAAATCATGGATGATGTCATCTAAAAACAATTTATTCATTCACTAAAACGTGGACAACTAGTTAGACTCTTCCCTAGGATCCTGGTACCGTATATGTAAAGTATAGTGTTGCCACGCCTTAGGTCATTCGCTGTCGAGCCGCTACACGCGGCGCCCTCTAGGGCTTCCAAGCGGTCTGCGCGGATTCCGCCTTGGCCTGCGCGGACTTAAGCAGGCCGAGCGTGGCTTTATCGGTAGCGGGTTTGAGCATAACGGAGACGCCCTTAATGGTGGAGATGGCATTGGTAATCTGCCCCGCCACCAGCGTGCGCTGCCCCTGGTCGATCAGAATGCCCGCGTTGCGCAGCGCCTGCGCCGTGTCGGTCAAGCTCTTCTTGTAGGTCTTCACGGTCAACACGGCGTTCGCCTCGTCCACCAGCTTCGCCGCCGCCACCAGGTCCGCCTTCACGGCCGTGTCCGCCGCGCTCACCTTCTTCGGCGGAGCCTTCGCGCCCGCCCGGGTGCCGCGGGCGTATTGGGGGACTTTCCGGACTTGGGGGGCGGCGAGGCGGGGGGAGAAGGGCCGACAGGCGTCTTGGGGGTCTTGGGGGTCTTGGGGGACTTGGGGGACTTGGTGGTGGTGGGGGTCGGCGGGGACGGCGTGGGCTCGGGGGGAGGAGGGGACGACTTGGAGCCCTTAGACTTCTTAGCGGCTTCCTTGGCCGCCTTCTCCGCTTCCTTCTTGGCCTTCTCCTCCTCCTTCTTCTTCTTCTTCGCCTCCTTCTTCGCCTTGTCCTCCTCGTCGTCGTCGTCCAACACGCGCCGCGTCGATGATGCTAACGACGACACAGAGGCGCCTGAATCAGCCAGATCGCCTGAGAGAGAAGGGAAAAGCGAGGAAACGTCATACGAATGTGAAGATTTAGCGAGGAAAGTGAGGTTTTGCTGCAGGGACAGTCGACAGGGAGGTGGAAAGTGGTTATCAGTTGAAGGGACTTTACCTGCATAGCTAATGACGTCCGAGGAGGAGAATCCCACGAGAGAAACGTCAGCGGAGACGCTGTCGATGTGTGAAGACACGAGGAGAGCGAGGAGCGGGAGCGCGCAAGCAAGGGCAAGAAATCTCGACATCGCCATTCCTGAGCCTGAAGGTAGTTGTTTGAGCAAATGAAGTAATTGGATTTGAGTGAGCGAGGGGCGAGTTGAATGAATGTTGGATGAACGAGGTCGAATTTATATGCTTTCAGAAAATGCCTTGCCTCATCGCATTTGGGCTGTTTCTGGCTGTTGGGTGGAGGCGCCAACCGAAAAATATTGCGCGCAATCTTCACAACACCCCGGCGCCGCACTTCACGGCAGCCAACTTTGGCAGGGCGAACTTGGCGAATTGACGGGTTAGCTGGGCATGGTGCTCCGAACGTGGCCAGCGGGCGAGGGGAGGGCGAAATGGGATGCGGGGGGAATCAGCCCGTTTGCACTTGCGAAGGTTTCGCGCAAAAGAATATTTGGATGGTCAGCGCAGTCAACTGAGATAGGCGCACAGCGAAACGCAAAAATCGTGGGCGTGCACAACGCAGCTGAGCTTTGACCGCAGAAAAAAAAATAAATACAGTTCAATACGTTTTACTACAGGCTGAATGAACCTAAGACTAATACGGTAAATAAGCCAGCAGACAATTTAAAATCCTAAATACCAAGTGCACCTCTTTACAGCTCTAAGATTTACTCAGTTTGCAGATCCACCATAATCAAACATCCTCCTCAGACTCTGTGAGGCGCTTCCCTTCCGTGACACCACCATCATCGCCATCCATGTCATCCATCTCGTCCTCCACCGCATTCATCTCCTGCTCCACCAGCCGCGAATACATGGCATGCAGCTTGCGGCTCTTGAGCCACGTCATCAGCGCCATCACGCCAAACACCACGATCATCACGCCTGACACCGCAAACACCACAATGTACTGCCAGCTCAGCTTATCCGACGGCACATACTTGATCTTGTACGTGCACTCGCCAGCGACCTCATCGGCCGGCAGTTGAACGGAGCCAGGGAGGGACTCGTTGCAGAGCATGGGCTGGTGCCAGAGGTACGTCACGTTGTGCTTGCCGTCGTCATCTGCGCACTCGCCCTCAAAGCGGTCGTAGTCATCCGCCGTGCACGGCTCGCACATCACATCGTCCGGCAGGGGAGTCATGGGGTTCGGCTGACACACCTGGAGAGGCACATGGGGAGCGAGAGAACAGACAGTATCACGGATTAAAGCAGGGGTAGCTGATAGGCATCAAGACAATATAAAAAAAAAATCAGCAGCCATAGTTGTTTCAGGTGCTTGTACTCACCCGGGGGTGCTTATACTTGTACTCACCCGGGGGTGCTTATACTTGTACGTGACGCGCTTGTTCTCGTTGCACCCGGCAGCCTCCACCTTAACAATGTCTTGCTCAGAGCACAGTGGGCAGGCAAACAGCGAGTACCACACCAGGTTGAACTCGCAGGGCGTGGTCTCCACAGGCTCTACCGTGCCCCCTCGCTGCGCCCACTCGGGGTACCCCAGGGCGCGGGTTAAACGCCGCCATGCGCCCTCCACTCGTCCACTGCTCCGGCTGCCCGTGCCCTGCAGCAAGATGCACGGGGGGCAAGAGGAGGACAACACAAGAGGGCGGATGGGACTTGGGAATTCAGTCGTGGGAGGAGCGGGACACAGAAGCCGTGAGGAAGGAGGGAGGGAAGGAGGAAGGTGGGGGGGAAGATGGGGGAGGTGAGAGAGTCACGACCGGATGCAGCGCTTGGAGTCACGAGTCCAGCGGCAGCGTGAGAGAGTATGGTGCGCGGGAGAGTTACCAGCGGCGGGGTCGCAGATGAAGGTGATGTTGGTCTGGCGGGGCAGCTGGGTCTCAGGGCAGTCGTCCCCCTTGAGCATCATCACAAACCCACGTGTCCTCAGCTCACTCGCTATCACGTCCAGCGACTCTATCGCCAGCGACCGCCCCAGGTCGTGCCCCGGGCGCAGGCGCCCCTCCACCTCCTCCGCCGGGTCCACCTTGCAGGCGTATGTGTTGAGTGCATTCCCCCGTAGTCGTAGCACGTGTCATTGGTGCGATCACGGTCGCACATGCTGAGGAAGTAAGATGACTGCAGGCTGCCGTTCTTGGTGGTGGCATCAGTGGATGCCACTCCAAACATCACCCCCGGGTGCAGCCGTGCCAGCGGGGACAGGTCAAAGAACAGCCGCCCGCCGCCTGCAGTGGCGCCTGTCAGCCCGCCGCCCGCCACCACCATGCCGCCGCCTTCGGCCAGCGTCTCATTCCAAAACTGCTCCTCCTGCTGCATCTCGCCCGTGGGGCCCGTGGGGCGGGCGCGGCGGGGGAGGCGAAGGGGTTGAAGGAGGAGGCGGGGGGAGGCGGGGCGGTGGAGGAGGCGTTGTAGGCGACGGGGACGCGCACAGCGAAGGTGCAGAAGGAGGAGGGCACTCGTGCATCGCCCAGGAAGCACTCGCTGCTGCCTGGCAGTGATGTGGTGCCTGACCCACACCGCTCACACGCCCATTCCGCTCCCTGTTGTGCTATGCCATGCCACCATGCCATGCCATCATGCCATGCCATGCAGAGCCAAAGAGAATAGAAAGGAGGATTGTGGAGGAGGTGAGTTGGTTGGGCATGGGGTGGACAACAAGGTACAGCATGTGTGCAGGCCCCATTGAGGAACATGACAGCATCAACACATTCCCCTCAACCCATCCTCATGCACCCATCCCCATGTGCCCGTTCCCATGCGTCCATCCCCATGCGTCCATCCCCATGCGTCCATCCCCATGCGTCTATTCCCACCACCCATGCATGTGCGCAGGACATGGGGTGAGGAGGGAGCAGCACCTCGGGATAGGGGTTGAAGGTGTTGGTGGGGCAGGGCGTGCAGCGGCCCTCCCCGCCCTCACTGAACGTGCGGGGGGGCACGGCGTCCACGTCTGCGTGCAGCGGCACTCCCCGCCATCTGAACGTGCCGGGGGGAGCGCGGCACCCTCCTCTGCGACCGTTCTGCACCGCCCCGCGCCACGCCTTCCACCACCCTGGTTGAGCACCGCGGGAGACGGGAGCACCGCCCGCGCCGACGCCTTCAGGGGGAGGACCTGAGGTGAGGAGCGACCAGGGGGGTTGAGCGACCAGGGGGGTTGAGCGACCAGGGGGGTTGAGCGACCAGGGGGGTTGAGCGACCAGGGGGGTTGAGCGACCAGGGGGGTTGAGCGACCAGGGGGGTTGAGCGACCAGGGGGTTGAGCGACCAGGGGGGTTGAGCGACCAGGGGGTTGAGCGACCAGGGGGGTTGAGCGACCAGGGGGGTTGAGCGACCAGGGGGGTTTGAGCGACCAGGGGGGTTGAGCGACCAGGGGGTTGAGCGACCAGGGGTTGAGCGACCAGGGGGGTTGAGCGACCAGGGGGGTTGAGCGCCAGGGGGGTTGAGCGACCAGGGGGGTTGAGCGACCAGGGGGTTGAGCGACCAGGGGGGTGAGCGACCAGGGGGGTTGAGCGACCAGGGGGGTTGAGCGACCAGGGGGTTGAGCGACCAGGGGGGTTGAGCGACCAGGGGGTTGAGCGACCAGGGGGGTTGAGCGACCAGGGGGGTTGAGCGACCAGGGGGGTTGAGCGACCAGGGGGGTTGAGCGACCAGGGGGGTTGAGCGACCAGGGGGGTTGAGCGACCAGGGGGGTTGAGCGACCAGGGGGTTGAGCGACCAGGGGGGTTGAGCGACCAGGGGGTTTGAGCGACCAGGGGGGTTGAGCGACCAGGGGGGTGAGCGACCAGGGGGTTGAGCGACCAGGGGGGTTGAGCGACCAGGGGGGTTGAGCGACCAGGGGGGTTGAGCGACCAGGGGGTTTGAGCGACCAGGGGGGTTGAGCGACCAGGGGGGTTGAGCGACCAGGGGGGTTGAGCGACCAGGGGGGTTGAGCACCAGGGGGTTTTGAGCGACCAGGGGGGTTGAGCGACCAGGGGGGTTGAGCGACCAGGGGGTTGAGCGACCAGGGGGGTTGAGCGACCAGGGGGGTTGAGCGACCAGGGGGGTTGAGCGACCAGGGGGGTTGAGCGACCAGGGGGTTGAGCGACCAGGGGGGTTGAGCGACCAGGGGGGTTGAGCGACCAGGGGGTTTGAGCGACCAGGGGGTTGAGCGACCAGGGGGGTTGAGCGACCAGGGGGGTTGAGCGACCAGGGGGGTTGAGCGACCAGGGGGGTTGAGCGACCAGGGGGGTGAGCGACCAGGGGGGTTGAGCGACCAGGGGGGTTGAGCGACCAGGGGGGTTGAGCGACCAGGGGGGTTGAGCGACCAGGGGGGTTGAGCGACCAGGGGGGTTGAGCGACCAGGGGGTTGAGCGACCAGGGGGGTTGAGCGACCAGGGGGGTTGAGCGACCAGGGGGTTGAGAGCGACCAGGGGGGTTGAGCGACCAGGGGGGTTGTGAGCGACCAGGGGGTTGAGCGACCAGGGGGGTTGAGCGACCAGGGGGTTGAGCGACCAGGGGGTTGAGCGACCAGGGGGGTTGAGCGACCAGGGGGTTGAGCGACCAGGGGGTTGAGCGACCAGGGGGGTTGAGCGACCAGGGGGGTTGAGCGACCAGGGGGGTTGAGCGACCAGGGGGGTTGAGCGACCAGGGGGTTGAGCGACCAGGGGGGTTGAGCGACCAGGGGGGTTGAGCGACCAGGGGGGTTGAGCGACCAGGGGGGTTGAGCGACCAGGGGGGTTGAGCGACCAGGGGGTTGAGCGACCAGGGGGGTTGAGCGACCAGGGGGGTTGAGCGACCAGGGGGGTTGAGCGACCAGGGGGGTTGAGCGACCAGGGGGGTTGAGCGACCAGGGGGGTTGAGCGACCAGGGGGTTGAGCGACCAGGGGGGTTGAGCGACCAGGGGGTTGAGCGACCAGGGGGGTTGAGCGACCAGGGGGTTGAGCGACCAGGGGGGTTGAGCGACCAGGGGGTTGAGCGACCAGGGGGGTTGAGCGACCAGGGGGTTTGAGCGACCAGGGGGGTTGAGCGACCAGGGGGGTTGAGCGACCAGGGGGGTTGAGCGACCAGGGGGGTTGAGCGACCAGGGGGGTTGAGCGACCAGGGGGGTTGAGCGACCAGGGGGTTGAGCGACCAGGGGGGTTGAGCGACCAGGGGGGTTGAGCGACCAGGGGGGGTTGAGCGACCAGGGAGGGGGGGTTGAGCGACCAGGGGGGTTGAGCGACCAGGGGTTGAGCGACCAGGGGGGTTGAGCGACCAGGGGGGTTGAGCGACCAGGGGGGTTGAGCGACCAGGGGGGTTGAGCGACCAGGGGGGTTGAGCGACCAGGGGGGTTGAGCGACCAGGGGGTTGAGCGACCAGGGGGTTGAGCGACCAGGGGGTTGAGCGACCAGGGGGGTTGAGCGACCAGGGGGGTTGAGCGACCAGGGGGGTTGAGCGACCAGGGGGGTGAGCGACCACCAGGGGGGTTGAGCGACCAGGGGGGTTGAGCGACCAGGGGGTTGAGCGACCAGGGGGGTTGAGCGACCAGGGGGGTTGAGCGACCAGGGGGGTTGAGCGACCAGGGGGTTGAGCGACCAGGGGGGTTGAGCGACCAGGGGGGTTGAGCGACCAGGGGGGTTGACAGGGGGGTTGAGCGACCAGGGGGTGAGCGACCAGGGGGGTTGAGCGACCAGGGGGGTTGAGCGACCAGGGGGGTTGAGCGACCAGGGGGGTTGAGCGACCAGGGGGGTTGAGCGACCAGGGGGGTTGAGCGACCAGGGGGGTTGAGCGACCAGGGGGGTTGAGCGACCAGGGGGGTTGAGCGACCAGGGGGGTTGAGCGACCAGGGGGGAGCGACCAGGGGTTGAGCCCAGGGGGGGGGGGTTGAGCGACCAGGGGGGTTGAGCGACCAGGGGGGTTGAGCGACCAGGGGGGGTTGAGCGACCAGGGGGGTTGAGCGACCAGGGGGGTTGAGCCAGGGGGTTGAGCGACCAGGGGGGTTGCGCGACCAGGGGGTTGAGCGACCAGGGGGGTTGAGCGACCAGGGGGTTTGAGCGACCAGGGGGGGGGGGTTGAGCGACCAGGGGGGTTGAGCGACCAGGGGGGTTGAGCGACCAGGGGGGTTGAGCGACCAGGGGGGTTGAGCGACCAGGGGGGTTGAGCGACCAGGGGGGTTGAGCGACCAGGGGGGTTGAGCGACCAGGGGGTTGAGCGACCAGGGGGTTGAGCGACCAGGGGGGTTGAGCGACCAGGGGGGTTGAGCGACCAGGGGGTTGAGCGACCAGGGGGGTTGAGCGACCAGGGGGGTTGAGCGACCAGGGGGGTTGAGCGACCAGGGGGTTGAGCGACCAGGGGGGTTGAGCGACCAGGGGGGTTGAGCGACCAGGGGGGCGACCAGGGGGGTTGAGCGACCAGGGGGGGTTGAGCGACCAGGGGGGTTGAGCGACCAGGGGGTTGAGCGACCAGGGGGGTTGAGCGACCAGGGGGTTGAGCGACCAGGGGTTGAGCGACCAGGGGGGTTGAGCGACCAGGGGGGTTGAGCGACGACCAGGGGGTTGAGCGACCAGGGGGTTGAGCGACCAGGGGGGTTGAGCGACCAGGGGGGTTGAGCGACCAGGGGGTTTGAGCGACCAGGGGGTTGAGCGACCAGGGGGTTGAGCGACCAGGGGGGTTGAGCGACCAGGGGGGTTGAGCGACCAGGGGGGTTGAGCCGACCAGGGGGGGTGAGCGACCAGGGGGGTTGAGCGACCAGGGGGGTTGAGCGACCAGGGGGGTTGAGCGACCAGGGGGGGGTTGAGCGACCAGGGGGGTTGAGCGACCAGGGGGGTTGAGCGACCAGGGGGGTTGAGCGACCAGGGGGGTTGAGCGAACCAGGGGGGTTGAGCGACCAGGGGGGGTTGAGCGACCAGGGGGGTTGAGCGACCAGGGGGGTTGAGCGACCAGGGGGGGTTGAGCGACCCAGGGGGGTTGAGCGACCAGGGGGGTTGAGCGACCAGGGGGGTTGAGCGACCAGGGGGGTTGAGCGACCAGGGGGGTTGAGCGACCAGGGGGGTTGAGCGACCAGGGGGGTTGAGCGACCAGGGGGGTTGAGCGACCAGGGGGGTTGAGCGAACCAGGGGGGTTGAGCGACCAGGGGGTTGAGCGACCAGGGGGGTGAGCGACCAGGGGGGTTGAGCGACCAGGGGGGTTGAGCGACCAGGGGGGTTGAGCGACCAGGGGGTTGAGCGACCAGGGGGGTTGAGCGACCAGGGGGGTTGAGCGACCAGGGGGGTTGAGCGACCAGGGGGTTGAGCGACCAGGGGGGTTGAGCGACCAGGGGGGTTGAGCGACCAGGGGGGTTGAGCGACCAGGGGGGTTGAG